ATGTAGATTCTTCCCAGCCCTCGGGCATAAAAGGAGTCAACGTCTCTGCTCCCAACATTCACGCCACCATTTTGGAACTCTTCAAGCATCACATTTTCAATGGCTCTCGAGTCTTGGATATCAAGTAGGAGTTTATGTCACAAGGATGGTTTCTGACGATCCTCTCAAAATGATTCCCATAGTGAAAGCATTTGATTTTAATTTTATTATTGCTGGAGCTTTTCTCTCAGTTTTTAATACAGACGAGGGACCCCGACATACGGAAACTGCGACTTAGGGACACTTGAAACTAGGAAAAGTCTGCCATGACATTTGAATAATGTCTCAAGATACAGGCACTTGTTCCACCATCTCTAGAAAGATTTAAATTTTTAAAATTGTGATCTCTTTAACAAAGTGAACCACTGTAAATATATTCACAAAAATGAATTTCATTATAAAATTACTCTTATTTTATAATAAAAACAGGGTAATTCTTTAATATTCCTGTCAAGTTTTTTCATCATCCGTGCCAGACTTGTGCTTATTTTCTTCTTGATCTGCTTTTGATACCAAAAGATCTGATTCTGTGGAATTCTCTTCTGTACAGTTATTTTCACAAAAAACTGGCACTTTTCCACCATTTCTAGTTTTTTTTTATTCAAAAACGATAAATTCAATTCAAAAATTACTCAAATTCATAATCAAAATCAGGCAATTTTTTTGTACAGGTTTTAATCATCTGTGATAGATCGACCTGTACTTGTTATTTGCTTCTTGATTTACTTTTTATGCCAGAAGATCAGATTCTTTTTGGTTTTTTTCTGCAGTTATTCCTTCTACCTAGAAGGTTAAGATTGCTTTAATTTTTTGGGACTTCCGGCTTAATTTTTGATGACCTGGAGAACTATTGAAGTATGCTCTCATTGAAGTCTATTGGAAATTCTGATACGACATGATGTATAAATAGATGATCTGACATAGGGGCAAGGTCCAAGAACAAATTGAAGCTTGTCCAAATCTTGGGACCCCACTATATTGCACTTAAAAGTATTCAGAGATTTACAAACCAATTTTAGTTGTAAATCCAGGATATGCTATTTGTATGGCAAAAAGCTGGAAATTTACGCTTCTGCTTTCGTATCGTTACTCGTTACCAGTTCCACACGCCCTACATCTTCAAGCGTGCGATGAAAACAAAATATTTCACTTGAACATTGTTTCCACAGATGTCGCACAGGGTATCTGTCCACGTGTTTCGCGATAATGGCCGGCGTCGATGGAATAACCATAGCAATCGAATCAACGCCAGCTATGATCGACAGAGCCACAAATTGCATCTCCAAGCATCACAAGTACCTCTTGGACACACGTCGGATCGTGTTTGTCCAAGACTGCGGCTCCAAAGGCTGGAACTACTATGGCCCCTACGACGCCATCA